CCCCAGCAGTGTTCTCAAGAGTCCTGGCAGGAATGGATGCTTATCTCCTACAAGAAGTAATCTTCGTCCTCCCCTACCGCAACAGCTGGCTACTTACGGGCCACTCCTGCAAAGCAGTGCTATTTTCCACCCAGATGTCCCTTCTCTGTTCCAGAAGTTGCATCTGCAGCTGAATGTAAAAAGTGTCTGCTCCAAACCCTGTACAGAAGGGATGTAGATGGACTCATTGACAGCCAGGGCCTGTCTTCTCTTAGATAGCTGCATAATCTTGTTACCTCTGGTACGGGCGGTTCAGGGGAGCCCTTGGACCACAATAAGGCATTGTCTCAACTCCTGGGCTGCATGAGGTTGACCACCATGATGCAAGCTGCCATGTTTCTGCTGCTTCCAGAGCTGGTTGAGACTGATTGGTTCTCCAGTCAGACACGCCTCCAATAGACAAGTAAGGGTTCCTCTGCAAGGCAAGTGGAAGGATCAGCTGTGCAGATGTTTCTTTCTCTCACCCAGCCCACTAAGTGACAGATGAGTCACTGTCGGCGTGGGGAGCCCACCTCCACACACTCACAACTCAGGGCAGATGGTCAACTCAAGAAACCAGTCTCACCTCAATCATTGGAATTCAAGGCTGCCGGGAATGCTTGCTTTCACCCCTCACCATATTCTCCATGTTCTTTATCAATAGAGTCCTGCGCAGACACAAATTTCTACCTGTGGCTGTAGATCTCCACAGACAGAAATCCGTATCCTCTGTTCAAAAAGGGCTCCCAGGAGAGTAGTATGGTGCCACCGGCCAGTGTTCCCTGTAAGCTGGATGCTTGGGCAGCCACTCAGAAAAGATGCAAGTGCCACTTTCCTGATTAGCAGAGTGCCCACCGCTAGGTTTTTTGTTTGTATGGGTGGTGCACATGCCCATGCCTCAGTGCGCATAACATTTATTCCACACATGGATGGAAAAAATCTGTACATGGATGGAAAAGATTAGAGGGAACATTGGCACCACTTTCAGGAGCCAACAGCCCATGTCAGGAGCTTCTGCCAGCCATGCAGCAATACTATCTCCAGCACTGCTGCTACCACATCACTTGCCTTGGGGCATATGGCCCTGTTGCTGGTGGGTCTTGAGGCAGTACGGTGCATGGTTGGAAGGAGCTGCGGGTGAGGGGCCCTGGCTCTTGTGGGTGGTGGCAACCGTGCTCCTCTTCTCTGGCCGCAGCATCTCCTGGGATTAGAGCCCTGCAGATCAGCCAATACTGATTTCTACCCACCAGTATCTATATCTGCAGGTAGAAATGTGTATCTGCACAAGGCTCTATGTATCAGGAAGCAGAATCCCCCACGCTGAGCTGTGAAGTCATGAAACAGTGGAATTGGTGCACTGCTCCTCAGATCCAGATTTCAGCGGCCTGCCTCCCAGGAATGCAGAACACCCATAGCTGAGGTCCTCAGCAGACACTTCTGCCAGGGTTGTGAATGGGAGCTAGACACCCACATTTTCTAAAATGGGGACTGCCTGCGGTGGATCTCCTTGCTACCTCTAGGAAAAAGAAGTGTTTTCTTTTCTGCTCAAAAATAGATCTGGGCCACCATTCTTGGGAGGTACCTTTCTTCTTTCTCTCGATAGAAGGTTTTTTTCTGTCTGTTTCTCCAACACCATTGATACTAAGGGTGATGAGTTATCCTCATTGTGTCAGTCTGTTTGAGACAAATTTGGTACCCGTTCTTGCTTCATCTAGTTGTCCAAGTGTTATTTAAGCTCCCAACCATTCCTTATCTCCTGTCGTAGGATGCTGGTCCTACCCTTTACCCCAGCCTACCAATTGTCTACCTCAGAGTGTGTCTCCTAGATTGTTTATGGGGTTAGATTCCTCCTCTTCTATGGAAGTGGAACAGGTGTTGTTAAATAGTAGAAAGAGATCAGCACTACCTGCCTGTGGAAATGGAAGAGATTCTTCTGTTGGGATTGTTGTTGCTACCTCCTGCTTGATCCAGTGTTACTCTGTCATCCTGGATGATCTGTTTGATCTAAAGATATTAGGGTTATCAGTTAGTTAGATTGATTAAAGTTACAATATCAGCATTTCATCCTCTAACCCTAACCTGGTACTCTTGCCTTATGATACTTCCATTCCAACCAATGGCTGGCAGTGTGTTTTTAGTAGCATTTGGATATAAAGGTGGCTTTTTAGTAGCCATCATGAGGGGCTTGGGTTGGGGAGATTGGAACATTGGTGGCAAATTCCCCCTGCCCCCATTGTTCTTCAAGAACAAGGTCTCTTTTCCTCCACACCCTAAATTCTTACCTAAGGGTCTATCAGAGTTCCACCTTTAATCAATCCATTCATCAGGGTTTATCTCAAAGCCACAGAGCTCTCTGCAGGAATCAGGACCAAACTGTTTAGGAAGTCACCTTAGTGTTTCATTTTCTTTGTGGAAAGATCCGCAGAGTCCTTTTGATCTCTATTGCGGTACTATCAGGAGGCTATAAGAACATAAGAACGGCCATGCTGGGTCAGACCAAAGGTCCATCTAGCCCAGTATCCTGTCTGCCGACAGTGGCCAGCACCAGGTGCCCCAGAGAGGGTGGACCGAAGACAATGATCAAGCGATTTGTCTCCTGCCATCTCTCTCCAGCCTCTGACAGAGGCCAAAGACACCATTTTATCTCCTGGCTAATAGCCTTTTATGGACCTAACCTCCATGAAATTATCTAGCTTCTCTTTCAACTCTGTTATAGTCCTAGCCTTCACAGCCTCCTCTGGCAAGGAGTTCCACAGATTGACTACACGCTGTGTGAAGAAGAACTTTCTTTTATTAGTTTTAAACCTGCTCCCCATTAATTTCATTTGGTGACCTCTAGTTCTTCTATTTAGGGAACTAATAAATAACTTCTCTTCATCCACCCTCTCCACACCACTCATAATTTTATAGACCTCTATCATATCCCCCCTCAGTCTCCTCTTTTCTAAACTGAAAAGTCCCAGTCGCTTTAACCTCTCCTCATATGGGACCCGTTCCAAACCCCTAATCATTTTAGTTGCCCTTTTCTGAACCCTTTCCAAGGCCAAAATATCTTTTTTGAGGTGAGGAGACCACATCTGTACACAGTATTCCAGATGTGGGCGTACCATAGTTTTATACAGGGGCAGTAAGATATTCTGTGTCTTATTTTCTATCCCTTTCTTAATAATTCCTAGCATCCTATTTGCCTTTTTGACCACCACTGCACACTGTGTAGAAGTTTTCAGAGAACTGTCCACGATAACTCCACTATCTATGTGGATGTATTATCACTTGTTGTGATGCTGTGGGCATTCATCTTCCCCAAAGGGTGAAAGCACATTCAACCAGGTCTTGCAACATCTCCAGCAGGAGTTGTCAGTAGGCAGACTTAGGGTGGACCTCCAGATATTTATGAACAGATCCCAAACTCTTTACTTACTATCATTATTGTTGGGGGGGTATGCATTATTATATTTTCTACTGTAGAGTCTGGACCTTGACCAAGAAATATGGATCTTGACAAAGAAAAGACTACCCCAATCCACAGCATTACAGAAGAATGTACCAGTATCTGAAATATGCAAGGCCCCTTAACCAGACTTCAAGACATACATTTTTGGAACACGACACTATTATACATGCCGTTATATCCGAGATGGCACTTGGTTCTGCAGTATTCTTGTCAGCTCTGGACTTCGTTCCAAAGCTCCCTCCTCCGTCTGGGGATACTGCTCGGAAGCCAGCTGAAGCAGAGTACCCCCAGGGACACTACTCTCAGGAGAAGAAGAGGTTACTTGCTATGTTCAGTAACTGCAGTTCTTTGAGCTGTGTCCCTTTGTGGGTGCTCCAACACCTGCCCTCCTTCCCTTCGGTTATAGGGCCTTTGGAGAAGAAACTGAGGGCGGCTCACTTGTAACATCTTTTTTCCAGTCTGAAACAGGAATTAGAAGAAGACAACTTTTATCCTCAAAATGAAAACTTGGTACGTTAGTTCCGGCCTGATGGGAGAATGGGGGAACATCTGTCGTGAGAAGTGTGTGGGCTGGGAAATAAAATACAAAGGGATGTTTGTTGTATTTCAATGTATCTTTGTGATCACATAGCACTGCACCCTGCATCCTCTTCTTGCTTTATGTTTGAATCACTGTTTCTCAAGGGGAAAAGTGCTTAAAAGAGAACGAAATGAGACTCCAAAAGGAGACTGGCTATGGTAAATGACAGTCTCGTAATGTGGGCTTCAGAAATCTTCTTTTGTCTTCTTAAGAAGTTTTGCTTACTAAGGGAAGGTAGTAGAGAGGGTGCCTCAGTGCTGCATAACCCCCAGGAAGACTCGCATGGAGGCATGGGCTCAGAAATGATTTGGGTGTGGCTGACTGGTGAGCACACCAACCTATGTGTGGGCTGTTTAATGACCACAAGGGCTAGCATCTTGGTTTTACATCTCATCCCAAATGCAGACCATACGGACAGCATTCTGTTTAGTCTGCAGAGAACGTAGTGCCAAAGACCTGCCTTTAGTATTGTTCCCAAATGGCTGTTTCTGATGAGTCAGCTGGATGTGCCGCACAGAGCTAGTGCTGTCTTCAGAGGTGCTCCCAAAGCATGTGTGGCCTTTTGTGGGAGCTACTTGAACATCTGGAGGCAGAATGTGGCCCATGGTAAGTAAGTGTGTAGTTGGGAATCTCTGAAGGGAATGACACAATCTGTTAGCTTGGGGAGGGATAGCTCAGTGGCTTGAGTATTGGGCTACTAAATCCAGGAATGTGAGTTCAATCCTTGAGGGGACCATTTAGCGATCTGGGGTAAATCTGTCAGGAATAGTACTTGGTCCTGCTGTGAGAGCAGCGGACTGGACTCAATGACCTCTCAAGGTCCCTTCCAGTTCTAATGATCTATGATTCTAGCTGAGCTGTCTTGGTCATGGAAGGTTAAGCAGTGATGTACCTGTGAATATCTGTGCCTCTTCCACTGGATATCTGCTCTATCTTCCCCATTTATAGCCCTGGGCCAGGAGGCAAGAACTGCCGGGGAGCCAGTGTGGAGCACACCGTTTGTGAAAATTTACCCTGCCCGAAAGGAGCACCAAGCTTCAGGGACCAGCAGTGCCAGTCTCATGACAGATATACCAACAAGAAGAAAAGCCTCTTGACAGCTGTCATCATTGATGGTAAATTCGCCAACTTATTTCCCCTTTTCTTTTCTTTTTTCTTTTCTTTTTTCTTTTCTTTTTTCTTTTCTTTTTTCTTTTCTTTTTTCTTTTCTTTTTTCTTTTCTTTTTTCTTTTCTTTTTTCTTTTCTTTTTTCTTTTCTTTTTTCTTTTCTTTTTTCTTTTCTTTTTTCTTTTCTTTTTTCCCATTTTCGATTGAGCCTGCTGGCCTCTGTTTATCAGCAGAGACTGTTATGTGGTAACCCCCACAGTGCACACCTGGAGGGCAGTTAAAGGGAATTCCTAATTCTCACAACCCTCTTGTCTCCCTTATTTTTAGCCGCTCAATAAAATCTATTGGGCAGGCCAGTTCTACAGACAGCCTGAGGATGTAACCACAGCACTTGAGAGACTGTGGAAGAGGTTCTGGAACTAATTAAAATATCCCCATCTGACCAGGCAGGAGAATTAAAGCTTTCTGATCACTTTTAACATGAGGAAATGAAAGCAAAGATTGGAATTGAAAGCAAAAAGGAGGATCAACCAAGGGATATTACTTACACGTTCAGCCCACTGCAGCACACTTGTATGTCTACTTTTATTTAAATTTGTGCTGTTACACAATTTTCCTTGGTGAGGCCTTGATATTTGCTGGGGAGGACTTAAAAAATCATTCTGAAATGGTTAGAATATATGAAAAATGAGATTGCACTAAGCTGGTTTCCAGAGAAACGGCCCCTTTTGTCACCATCTGCTGCTAAATGTCCAAGGCCGCATTTGTGGGAGTTGATCTTCGCAGGGTCACACTGAGCTGGTGCAGAGCAGGGCTTTTGAGTGGCACTGAGTGTGTGTCTATATTGCAGGTCCTTATCCAGCAAGTCATTGATGAGGTAGTTTTGACTGAGTTACCATGCTAAGCATACCAGTGTAGCCTCAGCAAGCTGCCTGCGTACAATCCCATCCCAGACCCTGGGTATGCACTTTGGTGGCTAGCTTATGCCACAACCATACTGGTATTTATTGGGCGCAAATGTCTATCCGAGCTAGAAATTACACCTCCAACTGCTGGCTGTTCCTGTGCCCTTCAGATTTTAGTGCCCAACAAATCAGGTCTTATTCACGGTGCTCCAGCTCCAGAGTTTAGGGCAAGTGCAACCCTAGACCACTTACCAAAATCTTACCCTTCAAAAATTATTGCCTGCTCCTGGACTTGTTGCTGCACCACCAGGAGAAATTGCTGTTTGTGCTGAATTTGGCCTGCTCTGCCCACCTCCCCAAACTGTGTCCCAGGTAGAAAGCAATGCAGCTGAGATGCTTCTATGATAGCAGTCCCACAGCAGAAAGCTAGGCCTGCACCACAGCACAGTTGAGAGGACAGTAGTCCGTAAGAAAGGTTAACAGTGGACATTAGTCCTCATACTTCAGTCTTGGCTTATTTCTCGTCAAAGCCAACAACAGCAAATTTCTTTCACCTTATCCCAGCCTAAGTATAACTTTGCTTACGCAAACAACTCGGCGCTAGTTTGACACAGGCAGGAGTGTTCCAAGGATTCTAACTGGGCCCGATGTCCAAAAACAACTGGAATTCCATGGGATTTGGACACCTAGTGCCACTTGGTGCTTTTGAAGGTCTCATCTGGACCCATTTATTGAAATGATTTTAAAAACCCTTTTCTAACTGAAAGCTGCCTAATTATATGAACATTGCCTTGCATCACAAACATATCGCAAGTCCCCCCTCCTCACAAAGGAAGTCAAGAAAACTTCAGGGGATCCATGGGGAGGAATTGGGTCCCTCTGGGTGCCACCACTTGAAATGAGACCTGTGACTGCCATGTTCAGCCATCTAGCAAATAACCAAGGAGGCCAGAGGACCAGCAGATGTGATGGTGGATTGCAAACCCTGTAATCAGTAGGGGAATAGCAGATGCCATTTAAGGGTTCCCAATGCTGTACTGGCTAGTTGGTGTCCTGATCTTGCAAGAGGCTCGGATCCTTCTGAGCAGCACTCAGCACTTTGCAGGATCGTGCCCTAGCTAGGGACTTTTCAGGTCAGGGATGATGGAAAAATTCCTCTTGAAGTGCATCAAAGAAGTGATTTGCTTCGATAGTTTCTCTTATAGCTACTTGTCTAGCCTCTGTGCATGCCCTAATCCTAGCCTGGTTGTCCCTTATTCTTCTTGCCCTTGAGAGAGTTTTTGTGTATTACCTGCTCTCTCACCTTAATTCCTGTACGTCCCAATCCCATGCTCATTAAAATCATTTGGAGTCTCTAGTGGGTGTTGGATCAGGCCTGTTGTGTCTATTTCTTTCCTTTTAGTTGCTCCAGCATTTGACTTGAAGACCATCCCCAAACAAGTACGAAATGTTCCAGTCCCTTTTCATTCTGCGCTCTCACTGCTGTTCAGTATCTTCCCCATTTCTGTAATGTTTTCCGTTGCTCAGGGCAGGATACAAATTCCCAGCTGTCATTCTGTCAGTGCCTAAAAGCAATGAGTGACCCTGTGGCAAAAATATAGAGAGACTCGTGAGCTTCTATGGGCAAAACCCTCTTCATCAGATGAATTGGAGTGGAAATAACAGAAACCAAGAGAAAGATAGATAGATCGATATAAAAGCAGGAGTATCTGTCAATTGTAGGACCAGTGTTAATTAGACTAATTAAGTGGGCTGGATGTGTCCCATATATAGCTTTTTATGTGGAAATGCAGATGTAAATGGCAGAAGAAATTTGGCTAAAATGCCTAAAAGGTTCAAAGAAACATCTCCTCCTGTCTGTGCCTGTTAACTCAGGGCCTCCTAGAACCTTTGCCTTGGTTTGTTACTGGTGTTCTGCAAGCTCTTCACCCTGCAGGCGTTCAGCTTCTGTTCCAGAATCTTCCTTGTACAGGTTTAGACCGTCTCTCTAACAGCACAGTTCTCTTTCCCCTCCTTGCCCACCTCTGTGTGTTTTAGCTTTCTTCCATCTGTTGCTGGCGGCAGCCTGGCTCCTTAATGTCGCCCAAAAACAGAGCTCCTCGTTGCTAGTGTGCACATGCACATGCCTGTCTGGGAGATGGAGCCCTCGCCCCACTTTTATAGTCCTCAGTTATTGCTAAAAACTAGATCAATACACAACCTGCCCTTCAGTACCATTAAAGTAACCATTCGTTTGTATTCGCCAATTTCTCGGACACTCATTGAGTTTTGAACCGTTTTCTCTTAGACCTGGCCCAGGTAACGGGTCAGTTATTCCAGTCGTAAGAACCCAGCCCCAGAAGTACCTTTCTTCACTTAACTTCCTCCTGTTGTGTGGTCTGCAGGACCTCCTGCTTAAATCCCTCTCCATGGGTCCACCAGATCATTTCCTCATCCCCAGGTTCCCCTGGGAGCTTGTTTACTTGGATTATTATTATTTTGGCATCCAGGAGGCTGTTTCACATGTTCCCCATATTATCTACTATCCCTAGTTACTCTCTACCTCCTCTTTAGCCCAGTTCTCCTCCCAGCTCCACATTGCTAGAAGTATTGGTCCAGCAACCTTGGCCCTTTGCTTCATCCCACTCCGATGCTCATACAACTTGTCTCCTATAGTCCCTTGCAGAAGTGAGAACCTCCTTAATGATTTCACTGTTTAGTTTACCACCCTGCCAACCACCACTTCCATTTCCCTCATCCATCCAGAATAATCCGATTCCCATCAGCTGTTCCGCATTGTAACAGTCCGAACCCTTCTGCTCTTGTCATGGTCTCTGTATAAACGGCTCATCTGTGAACCTCCCACTCTCAGGAATGTTGCATGCTGATGGGAAGTTTTTCTCTTAGGATTGGTCTTCGCTCGCAAGGTGATTCATGGTTTGGTATCACACGGGGCTACTTCCTCCTGACTCCTTCATTGAGGACGCTCCACATCCAATGCTGCATGCAAATCACGGGATTCCTTGCCTTTTTTACTCAGTGCTTAATGCACAGGGTCAAAGTGGTCCAGGCATAATTGTTGATTTCAGTGAAATTACAGGAGGGATGAACTTGGCCCACAGTCTTTTAAAATGTCACACACACACACACACACACACACACACACACACACACACACACACACACACACACACACACACACACACACCTGCCACCTGTTTATGCCATGCATAGTAACAAGATAAAGCAGAATTTAGGACAGAAAGATGGGGGAGACCCTAGAAAACTTGTGAAAAGAGCTGTGTACTCTGTTGATCACAGGTGTTCGATTGTAATAGGTGTGATACACAGGAGCACTGGGAGAGACTGAACTTTCTGTCCTGACCTTGGTTAGCTGACATGCCTGTATCCACTGACTAATGATTACGGTCAGACCCATATTTCCTACAACAGACAGCAACCCAGATGCCATGAGGGGCTCACCTCCTATGCTGTGCTGTGCTGGAGAACTGTTTGAATGCAGATGCCTAGGGGAAAAGGTTACCCGTTGAATCACTACATGGCTTCCTGCAGAACCAGGGGTGAAGCTTTCTGATCTACAGAGCAGCCTGTCTCCCATTTGACTGTGGGTAATAGGGTAACAGGAGAACACCTGAACTATTTGCACGCTTAAGGGTTTTTTGAGTAAATATATATATATATATATATATTCAAAACCCCCTATGCTTTGCCTACCCTGGAAGCAGCTGTCACCCACAAACCCTTCAGAACATTTCATGAGCTCTTTTCGAGAAAGCATAACACAAATGTCGGGAATAATTGCAGCCTGTGAAATTGCAACTCGGCACTTCTCAAAGGTTCCTGAAATCAAAAGGCTCCGTTGTGAAGGCTCCATGTGAGATGCACAGTTCCTGTGCTTCGCTTGCTGACTGCACTGAAATCCATCATAACTGCCTCATTCATAACGTTTGTGAATTCTTTGGCTCTCAGAACACACTTCTAGGAAGGGTGTGCTTTGTGTGTGTGTTTTTAAAGAGCCACTACCTCCCTGCAGGGATTCTGTTTCCATTGATGGTGTCAGCACCTCCAGAGGATAAGGAGTTTCATTAGGGAGCATTTGCAGAATAGTCTGGATACTGGGCACATTTATGCCACATCCTGAGCTAACATTTTTTTATTCTTCTCTTGCCGTATTGCTGCAGGTGCCACATCAGGCTGGCTTTAGGAGCAGCCAGAAATCAGCTAGGGCACTTTTCTAGGCCAGGAGTAGCCGTGGTGCTCTAGATGCCCCGTGTGAAAGAGATGATGGAAGAGCATGGTCTGTGCAGAGCCCCTCTCTGACCTGCACTCCCAGAGGTGTTGGCAAACACCTGAGGCAGCTGCATTCAGCAAGAGGGGAAGAATGTTGCCATGCTTTGTCCAGATGGAAAAATAAGGTGCTAAAAAGCAAAAGCTCTCAGCTGACACGAGCGGAGTTTGTGGCAGTTTATGAATGCACAGGAAACTGTATGCTCAGCCCCATTGTCTGCAGTATGGTTCCTAATGTCCACTGGCACACTCTAATACACAATAGAGAGTACGGCGTAGCTGACCTAAAGCTGTACATTAGAAATATCTCCCAGCCCATTGAAGAGCCAGCACCCAGAGCTGTTCAGAGGCTGTCCAGAAGCTGCTGGAATGGCACTCCCCTAAGCAGGCCAGTCCTCCTACCGCTTTCCCAGAAAATGATCTCAAAATCCAGCTACTGAGAAATTGCTTTGATGCAAGGTTGTAGGGGAGAAGCAAGGACTTTGAGCCCTGATAGGAGATGCCTCCCCCAAGCAAGATGGCTGGGGGCAGGTTGCTTTGACTTTTCTTGGAGTGCCTAGTGGATTGGTTTAAGCATATAGAAAACTGCAAACAGCATTCTCCCATGACTTCTCCACCTCATGGACCTTTCTCTGGCTCCAGGCTTCCACGCGCTGGTTTCTTGAGCATTGGAATGCTTTGATGTGCAGTACAGGCAGTCCCTGGGTTACATGGATCCGACTTACATCGGATCCCTACTTACAAACGGGGTGAGGCAACCCCGCACTAGCTGCTTCCCCCCAGCAGACCAGAGGGACGCAGAGCGGCTTTTCTCAGCAGTCACCTCAGCTTGAGAATAAAGGACTGAGGGAAGTGAGGTGTGGGAGAATAAAACTGAGCTCTGGAGAAATGTTTGGCTAGAGTTTCCCCTACAATATGTACCAGTTCCGACTTACATACAAATTCAACTTAAGCCCATAGTGACCTCTAGCCAGCCTTGGTTCTCCCTGGTGCTAGTACTCTGCATAGTAGAGAGAGGAGCTGCACAGAGGCCCATTCTTGATTCAAGGGGAATTTAGAGCAGGAAGGGACCTGTACAAATGGCCTTAGTGTTTCAAAGAACCTGGCCACCCATCTCATAAATTGAGCACTTCCGAGCTCTGGGGAGGATGCAGATTTCCAGGTATCAGCCAACACTGACCGCAGAATGTCAGTAGGTTCTTTTTCTATGCAGCTGCCACAGGCTGTGTTTGCAGCTTGATGATCTGATTTGTTCTGAATCTTTTAGGAAGCTTTTTAGTCCTTTATTCCTCTAGATGCACCCAGTTCCTCCCAAAGTCAGTGGCTAAACACATAATACTTTATTATTCGAGTGGGCAAATAATAGAAATCTTTTTCCAACAATATATGTTTGCTTTCTAGCAAGCAAGTTTGGTGGCAGCAATGTGCCGGAGGAACCCCAAATGTAAACTTAAGCAAATTTTAGCAACTATTTGTGAAAACTGAGTTTTAAATTTATGTACAGAAATGTTCTTGCGGGAAACCTGGTTTTAAAGGCTACACTCAGTCAAGAAACAGAAACAAATCATGTGATCTCTGTGTCCATGTAGAACTAGCTTGCGCAGCTTGGATTTTGTAAATTAAATGTTCACAACGAGCTGCTTGTGCCCATTCTACAGACCAAGGATTGTTCATTGGAATTAGGCATAAAAAAATATAAACGCAGTTCACAGAAGGAAATGAAGAAATTTGTGAAGTAAGTTACTTGTTCATGTCTAAAAAGACAAGTATTGCCAATGATTCCTGTCTCCCAAACCTCCCGCTTTTTAACCCTTTTTGCGTCTTCACATGAACAGTGCATCTTTGAGAGGTAAAATGATGGGCTTGAATGGAAGTGTGGGGCCAAACCCCCTTAAAGCGGAGACCGTTAGAATCCAGGCTCAATGACAGTTCTCAATAAGTATTTACTTGTCTGTGTTGTCCGATGGCGTCCCTATGACAAGCTTACTATTGTCATGCACCTTGTTCCCTCGGACGTGCTGGTGCTCTGTCCACATGCTGCTGTCGCTCCTGAATGAAGTTGCCGGTCTTGTGTATTTTTTCAGATAAGCCGTGTGAACTCTTCTGCTCTCCTCTGGGGAAGGAGTCCCCTGTGCTGGTGGCAGACAGGGTCCTTGATGGCACTCCGTGTGGGCCTTATGAGACTGACCTCTGCGTACATGGCAAGTGCCAGGTGGAGTAACTTTCTATTGTTTATTTTCCAAGCTTCTGTATTGTCTTGGGCTGCTGTGTCCGTTGTTTGTGGACAGGCCGCGTCCCTGACAGCAGTTCTGAGATTGCCTTTGGACTAACTATGTGGTTCTCTTTTGCAAAAGCAAGGGACAGAGTTTCCTAGCCCCAGGCTTTGGTGAAAGAACCAGGGTAAATTCCTGGGATGTCAGACCATGTCCCTGGGCTATAGGAAGTGTTTTAGGATGTGAGGCTGTCCCGTCTAGGCATTGGATTGGCTGTGTTTGAAGGGACTGCTAATGGGCCATCTAGTTTAATGCTTACATTTTGGCTGCTCTTTGGAGGAACCCTAAATGCCACTCGCTGGATTGAAATGGCCGCTAGCCTAGTGTACCTTGAAGGGCTTTCTCAGCACACGCTGGGTTTATAAAGCCTCAGACAGTTGCAAGCTGGTGCACAGCCCAGTTCAGCGTGCTGTGGGGCGAGGAAACTGTGCTGAGTGCAGCCGGGCTGAGAAACACTGCCCTCATCCCCATCCTTTGCTATGGGAGCCGTTGACCCACATAGCCAGTGTACGAGTGGCCACTGCAGGTTCTGGATGGGAACAATGGAAAAGCTCGCTTCTCCCAAACAGCGCAACTCGGCTGTGCTTGAACTCACTGGCCACGCCCTTAGCATGCCCATCCCCCACCGCCTTGGGTCAGGAATTGAAATGGAGTGGAACTCTTCCCAGCTCTGCCCAGGAGATACGCCCCACCCGTGTGAGGCACCGACACACGATGCCCCCTTCGGTTGGTTGTACAGATGCCCAAACTATGCTCACCCACGCTCAGCTGAGCTCTTCCTCCCTGGCTTCCTGTCAGCGAGCTAGCGCCCTGCTGGTGGGTCCTGAGACAGCGAGCAAGGGTGTCTCGCAAGCCCAGTCGCTGTGGCGCCACAATGAATGGCCACTCAGAGCAGAGCTTGTAGATCTGCATAGTGTGGTTCTCTGTCTCCTGTCCTACCTGCTGTGATAGATAACCATGTAGTCTTTTAAAGTATCTTCGTTGGACATTGGCGATAGGACACACTGAAAGATATGGGGCTATTTTCAAGTTTTGGAGCTGTTGTTTTGGGCTATTTGCAGATGTTTGTTACTGCATTGGTAACACTCAACTCACATTTTATCACTGTATTTGCTCTCATTTTTTTTCCATCCATGCACGGAATAAATTTGACGTGCACCACCGCGTGTGCGAATGTGCACCACATAGCTCTGGGCACTCTGCTAATGAGCTGGGCGGCATTTGAATTTCTCCTGAGTGGCTGCACAAGCGCCCAGCTTACAGGGAACAGACACAACAGCTAGGCGTTTAGAGTAAGGTTGGGTTTTTTTATATGAAACTGATATGCTGAAGAACAGGGACTCAGCCGGGAGCATTGCAAATATCACGTACTACTGCATCCCGGCCAGAGTCTAGCTGTAATTTAGAGACTCATCCCGGTGGTCTCCTTTGCAGTGTATGTGGGTCTTTGAGTCCTTCTGCGTGGTTCCTGCGTCATGGTAGAAACTCAGTGTTTCTTCTCTGTTAGGTCCATATGTGAGCTTGAAAGTTCATTGAGGAGTCTGCCTGTCAAGATATGCGGGATCTAGCATCGCGGCCAGAGTCAGACACCAGAGCCAGGGTTCAAAACTAGAAGATGGGGACTGGATATCAGAATGGGAGGAGGGAGAGGGGGCGTCATCATCAAGCTGGAGTCTATAGTCAGGAGCCACAGCGAGGGGCCAAAACTGGAGGCCAGGAACTTGAGCAGGGCTCTAGCCTGGGACAGGAAAGTGTCCTGGGTTGGGTACAAGGCAGCAGCAAGAACAAGGTACTGCAGATACCGTAATGGGCATGAGTATTGAGTAGCCAGCAAGCTGCTGGCTGAAAAGCTGCTCTGTTGTCCTCCGCAGCCAGTCAGGTTGCGTGGCTAGTCAGGCAGCTGCTGCCGGCCAGCTGTACGGATGAGCCTGGCTGGGAACTAGCTCTGCTGTAGGCCCTGATTCCTGGCATTTCCCCAGAAATTAGATTGGCACAAGACCTGGTGAGTCAGACGTTCCATCCCCAGCCAGTGCTGGATTGTTCCCTTCACATCATCTGCCAGGTTATCTGGTCTAGTTTTACACAGGCCAAGTGATGGGGCTTGCACCTTTTCCTTGGGAGACTGTTCCTCCCTCTGGCACACCTGCAGGGACATCTTTCCTCACGTTTAGCCTGCATCTGCATTGTCTTCCCTGGAGCTAAGCTGATGGATGCCAGCTGGCAATCTGCCCCGGTAAAGTCAGCCCCATTCTAAGCCCTGTTGTGTATCTCCTACGTCGTGGTGGTGAAGGGGCACGGCACAGGTTGTTCATAGCGGGGCGGCTCCACTGACCGCACTCCCTTTTGCAACAGCTCTCTGCTCCCTGTGCAGAAGCAGGAGGACGACCTGGCAGGGTTTGCTCTCACTGCCACGTTTTGACCTTGCCGTGTGGGGAGCACATGCAGGGCCGCTTCCTGCCTCTCTCTGCCAAATGGCCGGGAGAAGGGCATGTTGAATGCAGCCCTTCTCTTTTACTCGGCAGAAGAATCAGTAACAGCCCGTTGCTCGAGAACAGGCAGTTTTATTTTCTTTGTAAATTAGGTACCATGGGGTACCCTGGCCACAGGCAGGTTCATGGTACATCCCCATTACGCATTTTCTTTCCTTTTCAACCACTTCCAAAGAAATGCTATTACTAACCCTTTTATAGTACGGCCAGCTGTGCACCTCCCAGATGCCTGCCAGTGAGCTTCACACTGGCCTAGCCAGTGTATACCTAAGGCTGTTCAAAATCAGCAGGGAATGCTCAGTCAAGTGTTACGGCAAAGCCCGTTTCCTTCTTTCTGGGAGTAGAAGCCTGCTCCCCCTCCTCCTCCCAATGAAAATCTTTAGTCTTTTGGAGATACACCATGAAAAATGAATTACACGTCAGCTCGGGGGCAGCTGCTTTCAACTGTGCGGAGCGGTGATGACAGCTGCAGAACATGGAGGCGGTTTGCATCTGGCTCCGAGAAAATGCCTAATGATCGATGCAACCCGGGAAGACTTTAAAGACTCATGAATGCCTTTATGCTGGTCGTCTGTGTGAGTAGCTTAGTGTAATGGATTGCTGAACATGACAGCGCATCCCTGTTAGGTCCTCTGCTAACTAGCTGTCAGACAGAACAGTTCAGTGTTTGTATTAAATGCTGGTCACAGACGGGGCATACGAAGGCTTGAAGCTGTGATGAAATGAAAGGCAGGTGCTGCGGAGATGTAGTTTTCATGCTGTGTAATGCCTCTTTCATCAGAGGCTATAGATGGCAGAGATGACACGTTGCCTATGTAATGTGCCCATTTTCAGCAACCACTGCCCACGAGAACAGGAATTCCAACAAACAGCCCCTTCCCTGTTTCCTTCAACAGTAAACTCTCCTAACCAACTCTCATCTTTTCTGGCTGCAAAATGAATTCAGATTGCATCAGCAGAGTCACTCGCGTTGGAGGAGTTTTTGGGGCAGAAAACCTCATCACAGCTAATAAGTATTAAAATATCCCTGCACCTGTTAGGAGTCAAAGTGAAAATTCTGTTTTCATTTTATGAACATGTAACTGTCACTGTACGGAGGGGATCTGAACCTGGGACCTCTGGAGCTTATTGTTGGAGCTGCTACAGCTTGAGCTATAAAGCCAGCTGGCGTGCAGCTTAGTCTGTAGAACGCCCTTGTTTTTATCTCTGGCTGAAAGTGGTCTAAGTGCCACCATATGAAACAGTGAACCATACTTGTGCTACATCTACACAGCTTCCCTCTTCGGCAAAAGCCTATGCAAATGAAGCATGGATTAGCATATTGTCATGCTTCATTTGCATAATTAGGAGCCGTTTTTGCACAAGAGCCGTTCTTCCTCATTTTTTCAGGAAGACCGGCTCTTATGCAAAAGGGGGTTTTTGCTCAAAAAGGCGCTATATAGACGGCGCCTTTTTGCGCAAAAACCTCTTGCGCAAAAACAGCTCCTAATTAATTATGTAAATGAAACACAGCAATATGCTAAATCCACACTTCATTTGCATAGGCTTTTGCTGAAGAGGGAAGCTGTGTAGACATAGCTTAGGTGTGTGGGCTACAAATGCAGTTGGCTTCCAGCTTCCTTTGATAGATGTAAGTTAATTGGAGTCAAATCTGCATAATAGCAAAGGAGCATTTTTCTTGGCCAGTTTCATCAACATCAAAGCAAAGCCATCCAGAGTAGGCCTCTGTCTACACTGCAATTAGACCCCTGCAGCTGACTCAGGCCTGGAGGGCTGTGAGGTTTAATTGCAGAATGGAAATTCCAGCTTTGGCTGCAGCCTGAATTCTGGGGCCTCCCAGCTTACAGGATTCTAGATCCTGGGTCCAGCCCAAGCCCAGACTTCTACTCTGCAGTCATATGGCCCAGCGGCCTGAACCTTATGAGCCTGAGTCTGCTGGCACAGGTCAGCCATGAGTTTTAATCCCAGTGTGGACGTACCTCCCACTACCAGCAGTGCCATGTAATGTCCTGCCAGTATCTTCTGACTGTAGTGACATTAGTGAATAAACACCATGGTAATACAGCAGAAAAATCAGGAGTCATAGTCACACAGATAGTGTGTGATCACCATGGTATACACCAGTGGTTTTCCACCCGTTTGCCCTATGGGCTGCATATGCTGATCTCCAAGGGTGCGTCTAAACTACATGGCTCCGTCGACGGAGCCATGTAGTTTAGACGCACCCTTGGAGATCAGCATATGCAGCCCATAGGGCAAACGGGTGGAAAACCACTGGTGTATACCATGGTGATCACACACTATCTGTGTGACTATATGTGGTCCATAGCCAAGCTCTCTATCTATATACTATCTGTATGGCCTTGAGGCTGTCACATGGGCCTCAGCTGTGTGCTGATTGGGCTGCTGGTTGAGAATCCCTAGTATACACAGTATGTACCAGCTGCTGG